ATTAAAATTTAGGATTTAATATTACAATTTCATCCTTATTTAATCTTATTCTGAATTTACAATATACACTCATGCAGGAGATGTACCATAAATTAATTTAGATGTGAAACCCTCATATTTTGTTTATGAAAGAATTAAAATTGGTGTTTCTGTTGGCACTTTAGTTTAATCAATTTCAAATGATTCTTCTAGATATTAGATTTAACTAATTGAAATTGACAAATATCCTTAATAGTCATCTTCATCAGATTTGAATACTACTATTGATTCCAAATCCTTTGAAATGGTCTATACTACTATTCCAAGATATACTTTAAGCAACAATTCAACATATACATTTTAAGTCACTGCAATTAATTTAAATTCTAATAAATCTTAAAATTTAAATTTTACTTTTGAAACTAAAATGGCTGGATTATTTTGTTAGTTCAACAACCAAGGAATTTAGAATATTAAAAGAGATTTAAATCTCAAAATATAATGTGAAGATTTAGATTCAACAAATGAAAGCTAAAGGGACCCAGATATAAATATTGAAGTGGCTTGTAAAGATTTATCATTTAATACTTCATGCAAAAATGAATAAAAATAAATAATAAATGTTAATCAAACTGATTCTTTTCAATTCATTAAAAAGAATTCGATATCCACCTTTACTGTCTAAGAATGGACAGTAACGGCTAAAAAATTTCAATAAATATCTAAATTTGCTTTAATTATTGTTTATCTTGATGATGATTTTCCTCAATTAGAATTATAATTTAATAAGGGTTATTTAATGAGAAACATTAATAATTATGAATTACTTAATTTTACCTATTTAATTCCTTTTGAGAAAAAAATTGATTTACTAGATCTATCAATTACAATTATTTATGACTATTAGATAATAGAAATACTTCAGCCAAAATTCATTTCCCATCAATTCAAGATATTTAATAGCATTTAAGAATTAAATCTTGGTGACAAAATTAATCTTAAATTTGCCGCTTAGTATACTAATAATATCATGCCAAGCTTAAAAAATATATAATTCTCTATTAATTAACCTGCTAAATGTTCTAAATTACATATTAATCGTTAAAGTGATTTTGCACTTACTGATTTTTTAGTTGTAACAACTTGTGAATAATCAAATGATTCCCCTTATTAATATTAGCTTAAGTAATTTTTGAGAGAATCTGATTTAACAGATTTTTTAAAAGGAATATCAGATAATTCCTTAATTTTGTATCCATTTTAAACCTAAAATTAATTCTCAATTTAAGCCCCTACTTCTATTGATTCTTCAACAATTGGAATTTTAGTATAAGTTCTTGATAATGGGGGATCAATTACTTATACTTTTGAAAAAATTACTATGAAATAAGCAAAAATTAATTGTTCATCAATTCAATTTTAAAATTTAACTTTATAAAATAAAATAACTCTGCTATTTGAAGCAATGAATTAAAAATGTGATAAACTACATTAATAAATTTATCTAGATTTGACTTAATCTTAAATTTTTTCTGATAAGAATGAGAATATCCTTAAATTTTAAGCTATAAAATTATATAAATAGTTCTTAATCTTTTCAGAAGAAAGTAAACCTAAAAATCGATTATTGAATGAAGAAACTCCAAAAAAATGTTTAGATTTAAACTCAAACCATTTATTTATTACCTAAAATTCAACTTAACCTGTAGTAAATTTAACAAAAAAGATAGAAAATATGAAAGAAAATGCATAAAATTTTAATACAATTTTAAAGTATTTTAGTAAAATGAAAAAACAATGCGAAGAGGAGCTAGAACTAAATTTATATATTTGGAATGAATAAATCTTTTAATAATATTAAGACTCATAAGATTGCTTAAGAAGTTTAATATACTATCTTGATGATATCTATTCTGATTTTTCATAAATAAATATAAAAAATGAAACTATAGATCAAATTATTGTTGAATTGTTAAGGGTTTTTGATACGATTGCAGAGGAAA